CCTCAGCCTCCTCTTCCCCAGACTGAACACCCCCAGCTCCCTCAGCCTCTCCTCACAAGACTTGTGCTCCAGACCCCTCACCATCTTTGTCGCCCTTCTCTGGACCCGCTCCAGCCCCTCAATGTCTTTTTCATGGTAGGGGGCCCAAAACTGGACACAGTACTCAAGATGAGGCCTCACCAGTGCCCAGTACAGGGGGACAATCACCTCTCGGGCCCTACTCCCCACGCTGTTCCTGACACAGGCCAGGATGCTGTTGGCCTTCTTGGCCACCTGGGCACACTGCTGGCTCCTGTTCAGCCCACAGGCCACCAACACCCCCAGGTCCTTTTCTGCCAGGCAGCTCCAGCCACTCTGCCCCCAGCCTGTAGCGCTGCAGGGGGTTGTTGTGACCCAAGTGCAGGACTTGGCACTTGGCCTTGTTGAACCTCATCCCGTTGGTCTCAGCCCATCGATCCAGCCTGTCGAGATCTCTCTGCAGAGCCTCTCTACCCTCCAGCAGATCAACACTGCCACCCAGCTTGGTGTCATCTGCGAACTTACTGAGGGTGCACTCAATCCCCTCATCCAGATCATTGATAAAGGATCTGATAAAGATCATTGATTCCAGGATCTGGAAGAAGTAAATGCGTTGTTAGTGTTTACAGGTTGCTCCTCCGCTGCAGAAGGAGGAACCCAGCCGAAAGGCGCGGTGGCACGTTGGAACTGGCATGGCTGGCAGACAGGCAGGACTCGGGATCTCTGCAGTGGAAAATTTTTACGAGCTGGTTGGATGGAGCAGGGCCAGAAGAGGCCGTCTGCAGAAGACACACACACACTTCACAGCTCACGTGAGGGATGTGATTACAGGATCGGTGAGACAGGCTCTGCAGGACCCTTTAACACTGCCCTGGCAGAGGTTCCCAGTAAAAATCCCAACGATAAGGGTGTGCAGTACTCTGCACAGAACTGATAAGTGCGGCAAAAAATCTGATGGCTCAGAAAACCTGGGCATCCCACAGGGATTCCAGCTGGGTAGACGGGGAGGAAGAATTGGGTCTTAGAGATATCCTTCAGGAAGAACCAGCTAGTTTTCAGCAGAGCCCAGATATGGATATTTAAAAAGAGGTCAAGTCAAAGAGGACCAAGGGGTTGAGCAGATGGTAAGAAAAGAGACATCAAGAAAGGTAGCAGGGAAGAAGAAGATTTAAAACTCTGTTTTGATTGTGTTGAGCTGAAGCCAGTAGGTGGGTGTCCACAAAGTGCTGTCAGAAAGACAGACTGCAAATTAATTTGGACAGCACAGGACAGGCTAGGAGGAAAGCGATCACTCTGTGAGTCATCAGCAGGAGATTATGTATGCAAAATTTGTAAATAAGGTCACCCAGAGAGGAAATGCAGAGGAGGAATAGAGGAAGGCTGGGCGAATGGCCAAAGATGGAGCAGGTGAAATAGTTGGCAGTACTTGAAGATTGTCAAGCAGGACAGGCACAGCCTTAGATACATCACTGCGGGGGCAACCCTGTCCTACTCTGTGAGCAGAGGGGAATAAGCACACCTCCACTGGCTGATATATTCCTTGAGGGCAAATGTGTCATACCAGCTACTGATAAGAAACCTAGAAAGGGCTCGGGAAGCTGCTGGGTCCCGGTTCTCTGAGGGTGACTTTCTGCCTCAGTTTCCCTGGAGCTTCCTGCAAGTGCAAGCCCAGACCTGGCTCTTGCAGCTGCAGAGACCTCATCTGGAGGGCAGGGTTTCCCTGGGGAGAGGAGAAACCTTCCAGTGGTTAGGGGCTGTGTTCTCCTTTGAGCTTTTGGCAGCTATATTGCAAGAAGGGGCAGTGAAGCTCCCCCAGAGACAGCTACAAAGTCACCACCAAACCTAAAGAGAGGGCAAAACACCTTGTCGGTAGCCAAAGATTGGAAAAGGGAACCACACAGCTGCAGCTGGCAGGGGGTTGGGGGTTACACCAGGAAACCAGGCCCACCCCGCACTGCTCAGCTGCTGCCCAGGTGCTGGAAGAGCCAGAGCTCGTGTTTGTGGTGTGCAGGGGCAGGAGCAGTGGGATCCTGAAAGCCACAACTGACCCCAGATTACACAGCCAGCTGGCCAGTTGCTGCGTTCCGAAATTGCCCATTTACCTGCGAGCGCTGGCTGGAAGGGGCAGCAGGCAGGGAACAACCAGGTTAACTTGTCACCGGCAGCAGCCTCTCGTTTGTCAGGAAGGGGTTCATGCAATTTACAGAGAGATGTGGGGGTTTTGCAGGTGGAAGGCAGTCACCCTGAGAGCTCAAGATAGCAAAGAGATTCTGCAAAAAAGAGGATCCATTTCTAACCTCACGGAGGCTCTTGGCAAGTCCAACAAGCCCCCCCAGCAAGGGAAGGGGTGGCTAGGAATGGGCCAGTGGGATGAGAGTGAGTTGCAAGAACAAAAGGGCTGTATTCAGAGGGCCCATTCTGGCACTTAAACCAGGCTTAAGCAATTTTGCTGCTGCCTAATCTGAGGATAATAAGGAGTCAGATGTGTAACAATCTGGAAACGCCTGGCCAAGCCAGTGGAGGTGAGACACTTAACTCACCCTCTGGATGTTACTGTTTCTGTCTGCCTGTGCACGACAAAGGCAAACTGCTTTTAGGCTGAAGGTATGCAAACCCTGATGGAAGCAAGATATTACGTGGCCCTGATTTATAAATGGACCATGCCAAGAAGTGCTTGTCTCCCTCCCAGCCTTGGCAAGCCAGTAAATGTAAATTTCTCAGAAAAGGTCCCTTGCTGACTGACAGGTACTCTGCGGCGGCGCGACGGGGTGAGCAGCGTTAACGTCGCTTTCTGGCACAAACCCCGTTCCCAAAATTAAATGAGCTGGTTCCAGGGGGTGTGCAGCAGAGGCTTTCTGGAAGTCAGGCTCCACGAAGTGGAGAGTTAAGTCAGGACAAGGTGGCCTGGTCTCTCCAGACTGCCTGCTTACTTGCTCCAGCAATTCAGAGGTTTTTTTTTACACAGCCTCATTTCCAAAGAGAAATGAGTTTGCAAGGCACAGCTTTGTGCAAATTGCCACTACCAGACTTCATCAGATCACTCCGCACTCTGAAACTGCTCTTTCTGCACCGTAATAGCCATTATCCCCAAGCTTTGTGTGTGTTTATGTTACCCTTCCATTTTCCCTTCAGATATGACAAGCAATTCTAAGAAAATATGTTATAAACTCTTCTGCTCTGGAGTTCTGTCACCTTTGATTGCACTCATTTGAGGCCAAGGATGTAGTTTCAAAGTAAATCAATAAACAACACTTAAAAGGGTCCTACAGACACAAGCTGGGCGCAGTACTGCTGCCCTCCTCTCCCCCAGGCTTCCTCTGCTTTGCTCCTCCAGCCTGAATTATTGTTTTAGGCAGGAAACCTAACCAAATAAACCAAAAATCCAAACAGCAAAACATTTTCCAAGCCCCCAGTGGTGCTTTGCAGCATGGGAGTAGGTGCTAGGGCCTGCCTTGCAGTTGGAAGGGCACCTCCAGCGTTCAGAAGTCCCTGTAGTCACCAGATCAGCGTGACTGCTCACCACAGCACAGATGTGGGCTGCTGTGAGGGTCTCTCACTCCACACCAACACCTCATTGCCAGTCTGTTGCACCCATGGGTGGGCTGCAGTCAGGGTCTCCTGGTTGCTACAAATGACCCTGGAAACACCTGAGGAAACATCTCAACCCTAGCGAGGGATTGGGAGGGCAAATCTGGAAAGCCTGGATTCAGAAAGGGGCCATAAGCCTCCCGCTCTTCCTGAAGACATTGAGGACCCCTCAGGTTTGCTATCACACATGAGACACTCAAGATGAGCATGTTTCGGGTAGATTTACTTGGGAACCCCAGGGGGGCACACAATTGCTCCTACCCCTCATTTACACTGCCTGTGGCTGCCCTGACCCCCCCAGTGCTCCAACAGCCATGGAAGCACAGGATCTGGTCCTTGGGATCCTTCCAAGAAGCTAACAAGGTTGTAGCTCCTCAAGCATCTCCTCCAGAGCCCCTGAGCAGTATGGACAGCTGGCTGAACACTTCATTAAGGGACAGCCAAGAGGAGGTTATTCATCACCGGTGCCGTCCTGCTCTCCAGGATCAATGTGGCACACAGAGTGAGGGTAAACTACAGGAGAAAGCCCCGACAGAAAGCCCCCCTGGATGTACTTGCAGAAGGATTTACAGAGCAAATTAACTGCGCTGCTTGAATTATTTGGATTTGGGGTTTTTAAATTCAAAAATCTCCAAAGGCTGTGTTGACACCCTTGGTGATCCCGAGGTGACGACTCAATACCGACAACTCAGCCAGAGAGGGGGGGCTGCTGCCTGCACACTGAGCCTTACCCCCTCACTCTCCCACTCCCACTGCATTGAAAATGCAGCTGGGTTAAAAAAAACCAGACACAATTGCTCCTACCCCTCACTTAGGCTGCCTGTGGCTGCCCTGACCCCCCCCCCCCCAGAACAGCCATGGAAGCACAGGATCTGGTCCTTGGGATCCTTCCAAGAAGCTAACAAGGTTGTAGCTCCTCAAGCATCTCCTCCAGAGCCCCTGAGCAGTATGGACAGCTGGCTGAACACTTCATTAAGGGACAGCCAAGAGGAGGTTATTCATCACCGGTGCCGTCCTGCTCTCCAGGATCAATGTGGCACACAGAGTGAGGGTAAACTACAGGAGAAAGCCCCGACAGAAAGCCCCCCTGGATGTACTTGCAGAAGGATTTACAGAGCAAATTAACTGCGCTGCTTGAATTATTTGGATTTGGGGTTTTTAAATTCAAAAATCTCCAAAGGCTGTGTTGACACCCTTGGTGATCCCGAGGTGACGACTCAATACCGACAACTCAGCCAGAGAGGGGGGGCTGCTGCCTGCACACTGAGCCTTACCCCCTCACTCTCCCACTCCCACTGCATTGAAAATGCAGCTGGGTTAAAAAAAACCAACAGTCGTTAACGACTGTTGGTTTTTTTTAACCCAGCTGCATTTTCAATTGACATCTCCATTACCTGTTTCAGTGTGCTGATATTGGTGTGTCTGTCTGGAGTTCCTGGGGCTGACTCAGGGCGTCTGTTTGCTGTTCCCAGCTCTGCTGCTTTCTCTTACTGTAAAATAAAGCAAATTATTCAGAGTGGAAATGATCTCTTATTATGGGTGTCTTCATGGTTTGTTCTCTGTTCAGCGCCTGGGTGCTCAGTTCCAAATCCAGCATTGTCTGTGCAGAGCTTGATTAGGGGAATTTACACCTGCAAAATATACATTCTATATGCTCTTCACATGCAGTTACACAGCACAGCTTTGAAAGAGCCTCCTGCACAACACACTGGCGAGGTGAAGCTCCTCCTGGAGAGGTGTGGGACAAGCAGCCCCCACATCTCCTGCACAACAGGCTTACTTAACCCCAGAGTACTGCAGGGCCTTGCTCTGAGCAACATTTTCTGGTGATTCAAGGAGCCCTACAGCCTCTGCTTTGCTTTTTAGTGTGGTCTGTCCTCACTCCTCAGCATCCCCATGCTGGCTCCCTAAAACTGGCACACACCTTCACAGAGCTATTGCTCATGGCACGTAAGACTGGGTGCCACATTTGATATCACAGAAGAGCTCTGAGATATCACAGCCTGGAAAGGAGGATTCTCTGAGCTGAACTGAGTGACACCACTGCCAGAGGTCAGACTCATGACATTCCTGTGCATTCAGATGCTCCCCTGCTTCACACAGGGCATAATGCTTTGGTGCCTCAGTCTCTCTGTGTGCAAACCTCAAACTCAAAAAGGCCAAATTCTTCCCAGTTTCTATTCCAAGCAGCACCTTATCCCTGTACCCCTCTACAGAGCAAGCGGAACCCATCATACCCAGCCCAGGGTATGTGGCCCCAGTGTCACAACTCCTACCAGAGCCCATTTTCCTGCTGCCCCAGGTGCCTGCAGCACCGAGCACTTTTAGGGGTGCTCAACCACAGGGAAATTAATTAACACAAGTGATCACTTATATTATCTGCAACTTGAAAGTAACTCTTAGCAAGTGAGTGTTGGAGATGCACTCGTTCAGGGCATCGCTAGCTACAGCCTCTGGGGCCTGAGACCTTTGCACACTCGCTCTCTACAGCTGTTAAGAGTCAGGTGGTGTCGTTCCTAGAAGGTGAATAAATTATTATTGCAAATTACTCTGATGAAGTGGCTTTTATTAGAAAGCCAGACACAAAGGGAGCTTGCTGATTGGCTACCAGTGATGTCATACCCAGCCCAGCACTCAAATGCAGAGACACAAATTTTCTCGTCTATATTTTGTGTAGAATTTTCATTTTCTGCCAGCAATAAAGCCTCACCAGCAGAGCCTTTCACCCCGTGAGTGTGGCAGGGGGTCTGTACTTCTCAAGCGGCTGATGAAAGCAAAGCGGCCTTTGTTCCTCTCTCTTGCAATGAACCTAAGGCTAACAGTTTTCACCCACAAAGGCACTGTGTTTTATTGCTCTATTACAAACCCCACCACTCAATTTTCTTAGGTGGGTAGCAGAGAAATAGGCATTTTTTGGCTTGCACGTACCTAAAATAATTCTGACCGCAGAGATTTTGCAATTTACAAGCTGAAGCTTAAAGTGCAGATAAAGTAACAGCCTGGGTAATATTCTGATCCTCAGCAAAAGGTAAGAACGGGGTTTTGGAAACAAAATCCCAACTAATCATTTGTTTTTCAAGTTTCACATCTTGGTTTTTCTTCCCTGCAAAGCCACCATGAAATTCTCAGTGAGCTCAGGCTGCTCTGAGCCAGACTCGGCGACCGTCACACGGCGTACTGTCATTTCTCTTCCCTAATTGAATGGCCTATCAAACTTACAAAATTTCCCTAGCAAATGTTCCAGCTTGAATCATTGCTGGATGCGAGCAGGCACGCTGGTACAGCTGGAATACTAGAGCCCTGTGCAGACAGCAAGCATGACAGCACCACTGGCCTCTCTGAACCAGAAAGCACTCCCATTCCGGCGGCACGCGCAGCCTCTCCCCGCTGCGGTCGGCTCTGCACCTCCCTACGGCGGCTCCGGGCTCCAGCCCCTGCTGGACACGGACACGGTGGAAGGTCTGACGTACCTGCTGCTTCCCCCCTCCCTCATGTACCCCTGAAGTGTAAATTTTACCGGGAAGGCCAAACCTAACATTTCCAGCCCTGGCAACAAGCTCCTGCTTGTGCTGTACAAACACGGCAGTCTCTCCTCTAACACAGGCAGCACAGAGCCTGAGCCGACCGACGCAGCTCGCCTATTCCCCTTTGATTATGGCTCTAAAGTAATTTGTCCTACAAGGGCAGAAAACAAAACACATCTATCATGTGGAAGATGTCCTGGAAACCCCCAGATAGTTGCACTGATGAAACTGGACACCGAGGACTGCTGGAGAGCTGAAGCATAGTTAGATTTGCTGTTCCCAGTCCTGGGGTCATGACTCTCTGCAACAGCATCAGCTCCACTTTATTCCAGGTGGCTTGAAGTTGGAAATCATTGTCTCTTATCACCTGAAGATTTGCTGAGCTGCCTGCCCTTTGCGGATAACAGCGGCTGCCCTCAGACTCCTAGATGTTGGATCTGAGGCTTTTGAAGTCCTGAGGGTGAAGGTGCAAAGGACAGGCATCCGGGAAAGAGCGAGCCTGACTGTGAATCAGAGTTAAAAAAGAATATGAAGGCAGAAATCCTAGGAGAGGATGCTGTCTGGCTGAGACACATGGTCAGCATCAGCAAAAAGGGTACGGGCTCTCAGGTTTAAGACCTGGAACAGATTCAAATCACCCCTTTTAGATCTGACCTCCTTTCCTGTTTGAGGGAGACGGCAAAGAGGAGAGGGAGCCATGAATCTTGAACCCAGTCGCTGCTTTGCACGGCTTGGCCTGACATCCCTCGTTGCTTTTACCACTCCATGTGCAGAATGGAAGGTTATTAAAAGCATCAGAGGAATCTCAAGTAAAACATTTTTATTGTTTTTAAGAACTTGGTTACAGCATCTCTGGAGTTCTGGCTTGGACCACCACAAACTAGAGCCAGGAAGCACAGAACAGCCTTTGGTATTGAATTACCGTTGAGAACCATATCAAATTCCAAAATTGCAACCGCTGGCCAAAAAAAGAAACCACTGTAGAACAGAATACACCCACGCAGACGGTGCAGACATCAAAACGAGCATGCTGGGCCTAACTCTGTTTCCCTTCCTCACGCAGAGTAACACCCTCGATTGCAGCAGCATTATTTTCCCATGTGAAGCAGCCGATTTCCAGAGAAGAGAAGGGACCCACCTACTTATCACTTGCCACTTGCCTTACAAGAGAGTTCCCCTATCGCTTGGCTTTTTAACAGAGTTGGGGTTTGATGTATCAGTCAACTCCTCCCTATCACTTGAGGACAGTATTAGAATCCCATCTGGATTATAATACGCAGTAATACGCTGTTCTGGGGTGATATGAATCAAAGCCCCGAAAGTGGGATTCCATTTAATTAATCGTGGCTGACAGATGAAGGTATTGATTGTAGATTGAGAGGTTCAGGATTGGCCCGGGGGATGAATTACTGCAGGGCACACTGTCTTAGGGTGGTATTTTTGAATTTCTAGCAATGTGGGAGGGAAGCTGGGAGGAAGTTAAGTGAATAATTGCAGCTAATTAGAACTTGTGCGTTCATCCCAAATTAATTTGTTTGAATAACGAACCACCACCAACAGCCTGATCCAAAAGTGAAAGGACAACCCAGAGAGAGGTCTAGGTTGCTCCCATAAATTCTTCAGTTCTGTCTCTGAGACAAAGATTTTATGGACCTGAGGCCCTAAATACAGAAGGGAAGACGGACAAGATTATTGAAGTGGGAACACTTCCTTTTGCCTAAGATGTAAGATAAAGAAAAGGGGTGAGCTGAAGCTGAAGGATGGTGGAGAGTTGCAGGAGAGCGGATGCTGCTCTTGCCTTAACCTTCTTCCTATCCGTTCGCACCACGCCGCCTCCCGCCGCGCTCCCGCCGCCGCCGTCGCAGGTGGGACATCAAATCTGCCAACGGGGAGGTACGGGGTGGCTGCAGGGGGATCAGCCACGCAACTGCTGTCGCTGCAGGGATAATAAAAGGTACCTAGGCCAGCAGAGAGGGCAGATGGAGGCAAAGCTGTGGCTAGCAATCTGTGCGCGCACACCGACCAACCCACTGCTCCCTGCCCGCGGGATCCCCGTAATCTCCCAAGGCAGACCTGCTGTTACAAACACTCTCATCACTAACGCAGCGGGGGCAGCTAAGCAGAGAGAGGGAATGATCTAGCAGGGGGTTAATAAAAGGACTGACGCAGAACAAAAAAGCCTGTCAGTCGCCATAAGATGTGCTCTCCACCCCTTCCACCCCCCAGGAAATTAAAAATTACAGCCTGTGGTGTACACTGCTTTCTCAGAGGGAATGGATGGGGCAATGGGATGTAGAAGGGCAGGATGGGAAAGGGAAAGTCGGGAGTCAAATGTTTGTCCCAGCTGTTGTTTCTGGTACAATATATCAAGTGTTGTTGTTCTAAAGAAATAGGTTACCCGGCCTCTCTAAACCTGACGAGACCAAGCCACATTTCTGTTGCCAACAGCTAGGTCCTCCTGGAGAGAGGCCACCAGACCCTGCCAGGCTGGAGGGCGAGACTGCTCTGCCTGACACCACTGAAGTCCATGCTAGCATGTTTCCATGGAAATGGGAAGAGAACAAATGCCTGTGCCATGATATACCTTTTCTGATGTAGATTTGGACCATTTCTAACTCTCTTCCTACTAAAAACCTTCAGGACTGGGTATTTTATGAGCACAACCATGAAGAGGAAAAAAATATCTGGCTGTATGAAACAAAAGCCACCATCCTTTCTGGTGATCAGCTGCTGAACTCCACAGCATGCTAATCCACCAAAAACACCCTTCAAGGGAAACAGAGATCTCCACGCTAAATGTAATCTGGTAATCCACAGGCTCCTTGTTTCTCACAAGTGGTTAAAGACGATCTGTTCCCTCCCCTCTCGGGGCTGTTCCGCGTGAAGTTTCCAGCACCGTTTTCCCCCCCTCCAAAGGAATGAGATCTCTGTGCTCAGAGGTGAATCCCCCGCTGCCTGGCATTGTC